ATGGAAGACAGGCATAGGGCGAGGCATGTGGAGGCGGTGCCGAGCTGCCCGGCCGTCTCCAGGTGCGCTGCCTTCCCAGCGCCCTGATGTGTTCCCCCTGGCAGCTTGGCTCGTGGGCCCCTGTGGTTAGGGTTGGTATGGAGGCTTCAGTACATAGGCATCATTGATTAAATCACTGGCCACTGCTGCTTGAACTCAATCACCAGCCCCTCTCCCCTCTCCAGAGGTCTGAAAGTTCAGACTTTCTAATCGCAAGGTTGGTTCCCCTGGCAACCAACCCCCCACCCATTTTTAAGGACTTCGCAAAAGTACCTCAGGAAAATACACTCAGGTGTAGTTGAAAGGGCCTCATTATAAATAACAAAAGATGCTCCTCTTAACCCCCATCATGCAGAGATTCCAAAGATTTTAAGAGCTCTGTACCAGGAACTGGGACAGGATGAAGACCAAATATATATTTCTTATTATAGCACAATATTATAGGCCCACAATCAAGTGTAGCTGTCTAATTGACAAGGAGACCAAAAGCAGAACAAAGACGCACAATAGGATAAAGGGGAAATGGAGAGGGAACTGGAGCGAGTGTTGTGGGCAAGGCTGAACTCATGGGCATGTGAGCCGCGCAGCCGTGCAGGATGGACTCCGAGTATTCTGCTCTCAGGGTAGACTCAGCTCAGGGGTTAATGCTCTGCCTTAGCCATCTTGAAATTCTTAATATTTTGTCTTTGAACTTGTATTTTGTAAGAGAAGCCCAGTTCGGCAATGAAGCATGTGTGCAAGCAGAGGAGATACACCAGGTGGCGGCAATCAGGCTCCAGCCAGCAAGAACGGCGGGCAGCGGGTAGCTTGGGTGCTGAGCAGTTGGCCTGGCCACCTGGCGTGCACCCACATGGCTGGGCAGTCTGGGGCACCGTGGGGCTGCAAGGCGGCAGCCGGGCAGGGTCTGTGCCCAGATTGGCCGCAGCAGAGGATGAGCTGCAGTCCACTAAGGCTGCGGTGCGAGAAGGGAGCCCACGTGGAAGAGTCTGTGCTGCAGCATCTACTGGAACAAAAGCTCTGCAGCCGAAGTCTGGGGCAGGAACTGCCAGCATTCACGCAGTAAACTGTGAGCAAATTATTTAAAAACCAGAGCATACATGTGGATGTTGTAATAAAGCATATCAGAGAGTTAGAATTCTTCAGCATGTAGCATCTCTGATTTGGAAAATTGCTGCAACATTGCAAAGCAAATAAACAGTCACAGGCTTTGAAAAAAATTAAATTTAAAGATCAGATTTGACAGAATAATAATTCTATAGAAAATAATTCTATTTTATGTGAAGTTTCATTGTTAATGAGGGAGGCAATTTTAAAATTAAGTTTTCCTTCTAATCAAAGATACAGCAATCAAATGCATAAATGCATAACTTGTATAAAATTATATACAAATCATGAATTCACTTTCAGTTTCTTGTAGCACCTTTACAAGTTACGAAAAACGTTAGAGGAAACATTAAAGTGTCATCATATACATTTACATATAAAATTAAATTTAGACTACATGAAATTGATTTGTATGGAGAGTTAAATATTTTTAGAAAAACTCTGACTACCATGGTACATTTGGTTGGTCAGTCATACTGCAAAGAGGAAGGTTGCAAGTTTGATTCACAGTCAGGACATATGCCTGGGTTTCAGGTTCAGTCCCTGGTCAGGGCACATGGGAGGCAACGAATTGATGTTTCTCTCCCTCTTTCACCCTCCTTTCCTCTTTCTCTAAAAATAAATACAATTACATTTTTAAAAATTTTAAGTTTTTAAAAGAAATATTCCACAAGAATCATCAGCTCTTGATGTACTAAAATTTATATTTTGAAATAATTTATCAGAAATTTCTCCTAATGTGAAAGTCCACGAAATACTCTTTTTTTAAAAGATTTTTATTTATTTATTTTTAGAGAAGGGGGAAGGGAGGGAAAAAGAGAAGGAGAGAAACATGGATGTGTGAGAGATACATCGATTGTTTGCCTCTTGCACACCCCGAACCCAGGCATGTGCCCCGACTGGGAATCAAACTGGAAAAGTTTTGGTTTGCAGAATTGTGCTCAGTCCACTGAGCCACACCAGCCAGTGTGGGTCATTCTGAGCGAGATCTTCCTGAAAAAGGCAGACTAAGGAACGGCTTCTGAGGACTGGCCCTGAAGCCCAGGACACCAGGGATGTCTTTGCTGCTGTCCCCAGAGGGCCAGATGTGGCCCACCGAGCCTGAGAAATATTCTTAACAACTCCAGTAACAGTTCATTTGCAGAAAGATCCCTCTCCAAGTTAAAAATGGTAAGAAATTATTTCTGATCTTGCATTTGCCAGGAATGCCTGTCAGAACTTGCAATAACAGGCATACTTCAGGATGGGTTCGGTTCCAGAACACTGTAATAAAGTGACTACTGCAATAAAGTGAGTCAGATTCTTTTCACTGGTGGAGGGTCTTGCCTCCAGTTTGTAAAAAGACACGTCTGTGAAGCTCAGTAAAGTGACGCGCACTGAAACGAGGTGTGCGTGTGTGTCAGTTGAAATGAAGTTGGAAAAAGTACACATTTTGATGACCAAATAAATGAATTTGCAGGAAAATCTAATGATCAATCAGATATGTTAATATCTCTGACTGGTGTGGCTCAGTGAGTTGAGTGTCGTCCAGCAAACCAAAAGGTCGCTGATTTGATTCCTGGTCGGGGCACAAGCCTTGGTTTCTAGCCAGGTCCCTGGTGGGAGGTGTGCAAGAAGCAACCAATCCATGTTTCTCTTGCACATCGATGTTTCTCTCCTTGTCTTTCTCCCTCTCTTCCCCTCTCTCTAAAAGTAAATAAAATCTTTAAAATATATTAAATTATTGTATTATATAAAATTATGACAAAACATTTATATTGTTGCTATTTTAAGTTTATGACATTACTCATGTGCCACTATTAACCTCATTACATTTTATAAGTAATAAAGTATTTTGAAAGGAAAAACTTTTATGTTTTAGTACCTTTTATTGCACTATTTTTCACTGCTTTTTGAACAACAGGCTGTGCATTTTCCTTTTCAAACCAGGCCCTATAAATTATGTAGGGTCCCCGATTCTGAAAACCAGTATTACTTTTAAAGGATTTTCATATTTCCCCAAATTTTCCTGATTCTGTTAAAACTCTCCGGTTTTTACTGACTTCCCTCCAGTCCAATGAACGATAATCACGCCATAACTTTTTAAAATGCCCATCCCCGTGTGCGTGGCTGGTCATCTGGGAAGGCCGCCACTCTCCGCTGGCATGTCCTCATCCTTTTCCGGGACTCGGTCTTCTGCATTGCCCCACCCCATCCTCACCCCCACCGACGGCAGGTCCTAGCCCTTCAGATGTTGGTGTCAAAGTTTGAAGTCCGTTTGGGAGGTAAGGAGTGGAAGAAATGATGAGGAAGACGGAAAGTGCAAATGGAGGGCCGGTGTGACTGTTAGGTGATCGCTGGTAAGTGTTAAGATGAATTCCATTAATATTCTTGAAAACTGGGAGGAAGGGCTGTTACAGGTGAGGCCGGGGTCCAGCGGGCTGGGAGGCCTGACCGGGGGTTGGATCCCAGCCCCACTCTGTCCCAGGGGTCTGCTTCCTAAGTGGGCAGCCGCTTCGGGGTGGTAAGACTCCTGATCGCAAGCCATTGCAGTCCTCAGGCCACCTTAAAGCAAAGGGGGAGAACCTGGGGTGACTGGAACCTGCCACTCACCCCTCTCTCTCTGAACCCGTGCCTCTTCTGTAGTCTCCTCTCTCCTCCCCAACTGACCGATTCTTCCGCCCCATCTGGAGGGAGGCAATCTGATTGGCTTAATCACCAAGACAGTAGGACCGACCAGCCTATGAAGGGGCAGCCTGTGGATCAGGTGTTCACCTCTGCCCAATCAGAGGCCTTTGGGCAGTTCCTATACAGGGTTGAACTTGCAATTGACCAGGCGCAAGGCCACACCCAGTACCATGACTGACAGGCCCGCGAAGGCCAGAGCTCACCTGCTCTCCCCCAACCCCTGCGATGTGGGAGTTCTCCCACCTACCTCGCCCCCTCTTTACTGAGCCCATCATTTACTGGTGGGCACTTTCTCAAACATATTTTGGCTTCTACTCTTCCCATAGCCATGATCCTTCTGTCTGAACAATGGGCAGCAACCGCTTGACTGACATCTGACCACCAGCGTGGTGTTTTCAAAGCTCACATCCGGATGGTCATTCACCCTTCTGTGGGTGCCGCGTGACTAAGTACGAACTAGACCTCCTTCGAAGGCCTCGAGGCCCTGGCAGTGGGACCCGGGTACCCTCCGGCCTATCCCCCACTATCTCCTTCCACCAAGCGCACCCCAGGCCAGGGATCTGGGGTTTGCTCCTGTCTCCAGCAGCCCAACCCCCTGCCAGCGAAGCCTTGCTCATCCTAGGGAGCTCAGGAGCCGCGTCACGTGCCCAGACGGGCTGCGTCGGCGCCCAGGCCTGCACCGCGTCTGCTGGCGGTCTCTCCGCACTCAGTGTGACGTACATTTTGGCTTGCATGTGGGTTCCTCATCCATCTCCGCTGCTAGAAATGTCTCTGCGAGGGCGGGGCTGTCTGCCTTGTTCAATGTTGAACTCCTAGGGCGCAGTGCAGCACCTGGCACTTTACAGGGCCTGGATAAATATTGTGCCTGCTGGGGGCCACTAACTTTAAAAAGTGTCCTGCAAACATGCACACATAGAAGCATAGGAATGGTCTGGAAGGAATGAGGTCAGGTTCCTAATCTTGGCTCCTGGGGGTTGGGGAAGGGATCAGGATAGGGAATGGTGATGTGTGTGCCCACATACACTTGGGCATGGGGTGGTGGGGCGCACTGCTGGCTTTAACTGTAATTTTACTTTTTACTAAACAAAAATGAACAAAGCACGTCTCAGGGCAGCAGAGAAGGCAGATCGGCAATCCTAAGCCACACTCTCGAAGAACAAAAACACCATCACACACTGCAATCCGCTGGTGGGTTTTGAGTCTTCACTTTATTACTGTCACCAGAAGTCACCACCTTTACTTGGTTCACCACAAATGGACGGATGTCATAAAGGGGGTTGTCACGGGGCGACTGTATTCATTCTTGAGAGGCTTAACCAGGTGGTGGGGGAGTCCAGAGTAGGGGCCCAGGATGGGGACCACCATTCACCGCACACACGCACACAGTTATATTTGTGGAGCCTTATATTATACATCTTATATATAGAAAATATATATATTTATACTATACACAGGCAGTAACGCTGCGGGAGGGGCCGGGGGACCCGGACAAGGGCTGTGGGCACCAGAGGATGGGGGTATCACGTCAAGGGGCAGCGCTGGGAGACGGCTGGACCAGCCCATCCTCCTACAAACTCTGGGGAGGGATGTCCCCCTTCGTGCTCCTTAGAAAATTAGAAGGGATCTTGGGCCAAGGTTGGGGGCTCCCCATGGGGTAACAAGTGGGGGCTCTTGGTTACATGGGGGAAGCCTGGGACCCCGAAAGTCTTGGAAGATCAAGAATGACTAGGAAAGGTTGGGCGGGGGAGCAAATGCCAATCTCCTGGGGATTAGTCCCTTAATTGTTACACCCAGGGTGGACCTAGAGCCACACCCAGGCAGGCAGCCTGTGACTCCGTGGGATGTCAACTCAGAGGCAGGAGACCTGGATCCGGAACCTCTAGCTCTGTGCTTGATTTGGGCAAGTCACTGTCTTCCTGGCCCAGACTCTTCTGTCTCTTAAGGGTCCTTGCAGCTCTAAACTTGTGTGGAATCCAGTTTTCCTGAGCTGTCTCTTGCGCTTGATGGGAGGAAGAGACCTAAACTGCAAGGTCAGGATGCTGGGCCCTCCAGGGTGTCCTCAGCCAAGACACAACAGGGCTTCCCTGCCAACATCCCAGAGGGGGTCAGGGGCTGTGGGTCTCTCCCACACGCTGCCCTCCAACATCTCTCGCCCTGTTTCTCAGTGCAACCACAGGCTGGCCTCCACCGGACGGTGGGATGTTTGGGCTGCGCCCCAGGACGAGCGAGGAACGTTGAGATGGTTCAGTGACCCCAACTCCCGGTGGGGGTCTCATAAACCTTCCCAGTGTGGAGTAGCAGGGAGAGTCTGCAATAAACACCCAGAGACTGGGCGCAGCTTAAATGCACCCTGCCCTCCAGCGCCACGCCGGCAGAGCTGGTTGGTGCTCGGGGACAACAGATGGGCATCCCCCAGGGTCCCCTAGTGTCCATTAGCAGGGGAGGTTGTTGGTGGGGAGGGGAAGCACTTATGCACTGAACTTCTGCCGGAAACACATCCGTACCTGCCCACCCACCCCCTTACCTGTTCCGCCAACTCTGGTCTGGTACTGCCAGGCAGAAACCACCACTCGGACCGCCCGGGGGGCAGAGCCCTTCCTCAGATGGGGAACACTGAAGTCAGCCCCAACCGGCTGCTGCTCAGCTCTCGGGGGTCCTCTCCCCTCACTGCTGCCCCTCAGGAGGACTCGCACAGACCTGAGTTCGCACCCACGCCCTACTGCTAACGCCAACTCCCTGAGCCTCGGTGTCCCCTGCTGTGGAGTGGGGACGGTGATGCTACTTCTCTGCCTAGGAATTCCTTCTCATTCCCTTGCGGCTGTACCAACTGCTGCCATCCTCCGCACCCTCCTGGGGGGCCTCAGCCCACCGCGCAGCCCTGGTCCAGTTGCGGGCTGAGTGTTCATCTCTGACAGACCGCCAGCTCCTGGTCCACAGCTCAGGCTCCCCATCGCTGCTGCATATCACCTGCCTCTTTGGGTTCTGTGGGGATGTGGGGAGCCAGTGGTGGGAACGCCCAGCACCTTGCCAGCCCACAGCCCCCTCGCTCTGTGACCCGAGGCGCTGGATCCCAGGCCTCCTCGTACCTCCACTGTTCAAGGCCTCCCTGTGCCTCAAGGCTCAATGAAGAGCCCACCTTGTGCAACAGACCCCTAGCCTTTCCTGTCCCTTGGGGACCCCTGCTACCCTCTCCTCGACAGCCTGTGGCCTCCCCAAGCCCACCAGGGCCCTCACTGCTCGCCGCTGGGCGGCCTGTGCCACAGCGGCAGCTCCCAGGCTGGCCGTGCGGGGCCCGAGTCCTTGTCCTCTCCTTTCCTCCTCTCACAAGGAGACTGGCCCCTCGGTGGGCCTTGGGAGAGGCCGGGGGAAGGACCTTCCATTCCCACAGCTATTTGAGCCCCTAGGCCCCTGGCTGACCCCAGAGAGGGAAAGATGAGACAGTGTCGCAGAGCAGTTGTTTCCTGGGAGGTCACAAAGGCAGGAAATCGGGACACCTGCTGGGTGGTTGGGGCCAAGAAACCCAGGCAGCCAGCCCAGCCCTGCCACTCACCCATGGGACCTCGGGCCAGCGGCTGCCCCTGTGGGCCTCCTCATCACCTAGCCCTGGGCAGGGTCTTAGCGAGCTTCTCCTAGGGACAGGGACAGCGGTCAGTCCTTTGAGAGGCCACAAAGCCGGTACCGAGCCCCCAGAGGGACACACACAGCCCAGTGAGGCACGCAGGGGAACTCCCACCCTGGGAGCAGCCGGTGGGGAAATGGGCAGAGGGCCTGCAGGCAGCACTGTCCCCTGGGCAGAAGGGCCCCTAGCCTGCAGTAGAATCAGGGTGGCTCCCGGGCTGAGGTCCCCAAGGCCCCCCAGAGTCATGGGGGCACTGAGCAGTGGAGCCCCTGGCTGGGGGCTGCGGGAGGATGGAGGTGGGGGGCCGCAGGTGCTCTGCAGTCAGGCAGCCTGGGCTTGGCCCCGCTTCCACCTCTGGCTGCCTGAGCAGCCCTGGATGAGTGGCGCTGACTTCTCCAGGCCTCAGCTTCCACAACCACAGACAGGAGACAGCCCCAGCACTCCCAGCAGAGCTGTTGCGTTGCTCCTAGCAGTGACAGCCTCCAGGGTTGCGGGTGTTCACACTTACCCTGCGGCCAAACCTTCCCCGCATCACCTCGGTCTGTCCTTCCCTCTGTTCCCCCCTCTGCCACCGACAGGGCCTCCTCCACACCTCGTCTTCCCCGTTTTCAGAGACCACTGCTCTTCCAAGCGCACGCCAAGCATGGGCTGAACACACAGTAGGTGCTCAATGAATGCTCGATGACACAATGAGTGAATGCAAATACCCCAGGCGCCTGCTGAACACATTTCCACACACACGTCGACACCCCCCATAATACCTTACTGCCCCCTCCCATCCCAAGCTGCCCTGGACCTCAGCAGAACAATTGGGAGGCTGATGAGGTGCTGGGCAGGACAGCCTGGGAGGGAGCAGGGGGCAGGGTGTGGAGGGAGGGGCAGGGGACGGTGGGGCAGGGGCAGGGGCAGGCGGGGGGCGGGGAGAAAGGGGGAGGAAGTGACCACTGCGGCTCAGTAGCCCTGCGACTGGTAGCCCTGGGGCTCGGTGTCGAAGGAGTTGGCCGGCTGCTGGTAGGTGCCACCCATGCCAGTGGGGTCTGGCCCGGCGCTGGGCTCCACGTAGGGGGCATAAGGCATGCTGGAGTCCTGGCTGGGGTCCATGTAGTCCTGGGAGAAGAGGGCTGAGTCGGCGCCAATCTGGTACCGCTGGAAGGCCAGCACAGCCTGGCCTGCCTGGGGACGAGGGCCGGTGGGGACAAGGACAGGAGGGAGGGGATGGTTAGAAGAGAGACAGACAAGAGCATTGGGTTAGTGGTGGTTAGTTCACCAGACACAAACAAAAGAGGGTTAAATATCCTCAAAGCACCGAAGACAAACTAAACCTGACTGAGGGGCTGGAAGCGGTCCTTGAGGCCAGCCCTTCCGAGGCCCAGAACCACAACGTCCAGCCAGAAAGAACTTCCGAAGTCACCTGCCCCATGCCCCCTCATTCCAGAGGTCACTGGGAGCCACTGAAAATTCTAGTCTCCATTGTGGAGTGTTAAAATGGTCCAAAAGTCCACAACTTCCTTTTCAAACTGTTCCCAGAGTGTTGTGGAATGGCAAAAAAAAAAAAAAAAAAAAAAAAAATGTTTCTTGGTAGGACAGAGAGCTGTTGCCACTTCCGAAAATCTTTGTCTCTCTTGTAGCTTGGTCCAGCCATATGACTAAGTTCTGGCCAATCGGTCACCCCGAGTTCTTTGTTCACCCTTTGACATGATGCCTGGAATACAGATGTGATGGCTGCAGCTCTGGTTGCCATAATGGACCATGAGGTCCAGGAACCAAATTGTAAGGATGAAAGAGACCTAGGTCACTCAAGACTTCTGGAGCCTATGCTGGCCTTGGACTGTCTTCCTAGCCTTGGACATCAGTTAAACCACTGTTACTTGCAATTTCTCTCATTTGCTGCCGAACCTAATTCTAGCTGAAACAACTTGGTCTGTCAAGTTTGGGAAACAGGGTTAAACAGAGTGAGAAAAGTTTCAGGACCATAGGACTTGTCAGGGCCTTGACCCTTTAATGCACCCTGGGATCCCCAATGGGGAAACTACAAGCCACATTGCCACCCTTATCTGACCACTGAAGCCTTTTTTTTTTTTCAGTTGGGAAAAACTGGTCTACAGCATACATGCATAGGTGGGAAATTCTTTTTCAGTAAAAGCAATTATATTGTTATTAAGGACAATGACACGGACCACACCAAGCAAGGGAGTGAGTTAAGTCTGTCATTATGAGAACAGTTCACAGGGTCACATTGAAAGCCTCGCCAGAGCTCCTTCCAGCCCAGGTAACTTGGCTGTGACGGAGACGTGCTCATGCCCCACACACCCATTTTTGGGGAAACTGTGGCCTGGAGAAGGGAAGCCTTGAGGCAGAATTGGTGCCAAACTCAGACCTCCTGATCCCAGGCCTTCCCAGGCCGCAGCCCTTCCCCATGTCCCTCCCTTTGATCAGGCCCCTGACAAAGCACCAAATCAACTGGGAACCCCAAAGGGTCATCAGGTCAGAGGCATATGCTTGGTGTTTAATTCCAGAAAGTTCCAGAAGCCCAGTGATTAGGCATTCACTTCCAGTCTGTGTCACTGGAGAAAGCTCAGAGGGGCGGCTTTTCCTGGGAAGGGGCTGCGTGAAGCCAAGTGTCAGGGGCCCGGGGAAGGCGGGCCTGAAGGAGCTGGCCGAGGAAACCGGCTGGGGCTCTCTTGTGTTTTCTACTCTGCGGGTATGAGGCCCTGGCTGCTGGGGGCTCCGTCGCCGGCCGGGAGAAGCAGGAGGGAAAAGCCCCCTGGGGTAGCAGTCTCCGGCACCTGGATCCATCGGCAAGCCCGCAAGGGCACGTGGGGAATGAACGAACGAACGAACCAACGAGTCCCTAAGAGAAACTTTTGTAGATGCGGTTCCCCCGAGCTCCCTGGCTCCACTGCCCAGGCTGGTGTCCTGCACAAGAGACGGGGGCTGGAGCAGGTGGCCTCCGCGGGTCCTTTCAGGGAGTGGCCTGACTGCGGACACTGACTGCGACCTCCGTGTGCAGTCCTCTGCCCGCACTGAGTCACGGCCTCCCTTTGCCACCCAGTTCAAGGGGCCGCAGCCCGGAGCTAAGGAGGGACATGGGCTCCTGCTGGACTGGGGTGCAGAGGGGAAGCCGGGGGCTCCACCTGACCTGCTTCTTCAGATCAGGTGGCCTCTCTTGGGTCGCTCCACCTGACCAGGCGCAGCCCGCACCTGCATGCCTCCGGGGCCTGGAAGCGCACTCTGCTCTGCTCCGGGGCCTGCCTGTGCTGCGTTACCTCCTCAACTAGTGGACAGGTGGGACCAGGGGCTGGGGGCCCCAAGGAGGGGACCTGTGCAGGACTGGGGGCCCAAGTCCTTGGGAAGAGCAAGGACTTGCCACATGAGAGTCATCCCGAGGCTCCGACTGGGGAAGTGTCCCCGAGTCCTGGGACGGGACGGGCAAAGAGATGAATGAGCGAGTGATGCCGGAACAAAAGAGCCTACATTTATTGAGCGTCTCTGTGCCAGCCTTTGTCTCTTCCGTGCGACAGCCCTGAGAGGGGGCCTGTTATCACTCCTCGGCCCAGGGGACTGGGCTGAGGCTCAGGGAGGTGCGGGGTTTGCTCAGGGCCCCACAGCACACAAGAGGAGTCCTCTGGTGTCCTCGGCCAGGCCTCCCTTGGCAGCCAGTCTCCCGGGGGCCGTGAGGTCAGCCTCGTGCCACAGGTTCACATGGTGCTCCCGGCTCAGCACCTGGCAGCCCACGTAGGGAGCCCCCTCCACCCCCCGAATGGCTGGTGGCTGTCCTTTTGGGGAGATTTCGGTTTATCTCTCTCCCCTCCCCAGCCTATGGGCTCCTGGGGCCAGGGACCCCGTCTGATTCATCACTAGGCACAAAACAGCTGCTCAATAAATGTTTACTCAATGAATGAACACATGAGAATAAACAAAGGAGGCAATGAGTAAGTAAGTGGCAAGTCTTAGCTGGCCTCTCATCCAGACTTCCCTGCCCCGGGGACCCTGGCAGGAGGCTGCCCCATGTCCTCGCCAGGGGGCAGGACACAGGGCTCCCAGCCGCGGGAAGCCGGGCAGGCCCACTACGGCAGCGCTGAGGTGGGAAACAGCGCGCTGTATTCCTCCTGGAAGGTAAGGTCCTTGAATCTCCGCACGGCCAGGGCTGCGGTCAGGCTCTGCCAGGAGAGAGCGGGGGTGAGGCCAGCAGGGAAGGGCTAGGAAGGGCAGAGGGGCCAGCAGTGAGGCAGGCTCCGGCGGGCGTGGGGGCACTCTCCCTGCCCCTGAAAGTCCTGGTGCCCCATGACCCACTCTTGCTCTATGAGCCCCAGCCCCAGCTCAGGGCTTGCTGCTCCCGGGAGGCCCCCACTTCCAGGGTATCCTCTCTGGTCAGAGATGCCCCGGGGTCACCTCGTTCTCCCTCCCAGCCTCGAGGATGCAGAGATCTGGAGTGACCGTGGCTGGCCCACTGAGGCCTGAACCACGGGTCTCCTCTTCCAAACTCCAGCTCCCGATGTTGTACTGGGGCGAGGGGCCTCACGCGAATATGGCCATCCAGGGGCCCTCGAAGAGAGACGGCAGTGCCCCAGCGCAGGCCCAGAAGGGAGCGGGCATGGGGCTCCTCCCTGCAGAAGGCTAGGCCAAGGAGGCCCGAGGGCCTGGAGGAGCGGCCGCGGCAGTGCGGGAGAACCCTTGGGGCGGGAGCCGACTGGCTATCTGCAGGAGGCAGATGAGGAGAGTAGGAAGGAATTGAGGTGACTTGGACCCTCAATTCCAGGTCTTGCTTGTCATGCTGGCGGGCGCTCAAGACCACTGGGTTCAGAGCCCACAAGAGCTGGGCTCTGGCCAGTCCAGGGCAGAGACGAGCTCTCCTTGATCCATGCGAGACACGTTTTTTTAAACTCCAATAAATTGCTAACACATAAAGATCAGACTTCACACAGAAATTCAGCTTTTTGGCTTCTGTAGTAAATGGAATCCCTGGCCCTTGTAGGTTCTCATTCCTCCTTCTCAACAGGGGCCGAGGACAGGGTGCCCGTTGAGGACAGGGTGCCGGTGCCACCTCACATCTTGTCTGCCAGGTGGGCAGCTAAGTTTGTGACACTTTCCCCCAAACCCAATCTCCTGACGTTACAGATGGGAAGACAGAGGCTTGGAGAACGAGAGGCAGCCCCAAGGGATGACCCAGGTCTCCTGACTCCTAGCCTGGGCTCCTTCCCAGCCTCGACACCTCGAAGCCTTACCTTCCTGTGCAGGCCTCAGCTTCCTCATCTGTTAAAAAGAATGGTAAACACCCACCACCCAGCAACCCTGGCAGGCGCTCTGCACCAAAGCAAGAGTCCACTGTCACCACATGACTGTCCTCTCTGGCAATGGCAACAGTCTTCCTTGGGGACAGCCCCGTCGTGGGCATCGAGGACAGAAGCAGAAGGCAGGCCCTGGCTATGCTGGGAGGCCCCCGCCCCGGAGCCTGGCGGGGCAGGCCATGCACTCACCCACGTGAAGATGGAGAAGAAGGAGAAGGCGATGGCGGCCCGGGCTGCGTCCGTTCCTTCGTTAAGTGGGTTGTCCTTAGGCTTGGAGACCTGCCACTGGTTGGCCAGGTAGCAGAAGCCCACGAACCAGAGGAAGGCCCAGAAGGCTGGGATGTCCACCAGGGTCAGGCAGAATGGCCCATGCGTGGGGACAGGGGCAAGTTGGGAGGACATGGGGAAATCGAGGACCAGGCAGAGGTTCCAGAGCACACCTCCCATGCTCCCCCACCCCCAGGGGGAGCAGAGAGGGGAGCACAGGGAAGGCGAGTGAGAAGAGAGGACAGTCCAATGCACAGCCAGACAGAGACCACGGACAGGAGCCAGCCACGGCCCAGGAAGAGCGGGGGCCGTCAGAGGGAGGGAGGGAGGGAGAGAGAGAGAGAAAGGCAATCAGCTGAGGCTGGCATTTCTTTAACCTCAGCCAAACACAGACTTCCCAGCTGTCCCTGACTCTCCCCCCCTTGAAGCCTGCAGCCCCGAGGCCTCCTCACTCCCCACCAGCCTCCCAGGGGAACGGGGGCAGGGGGGAGGGAAGGGCAGCCAGGTCAAGGGTGTGTGGCTCAAAACCAGTGGGTCTGAGCCTCGACCTCTAAAGTGCTTGCAGCCCCCCAAAGTCCCCCAGGGCAGCGAGAGGCCCTGCGAGAACCTGGGGCTGGGGAGCTCCGCAGTGGGAGCCCCGTGGTAATGAGGCTTCTGTGGGGCCCAGAGCTGCTCAGGCGGGGCACATGTGTGTCGGGGCACCCAGAGCCCAGCGCCCCAGGGGCACTGCTGGGGAACCCTGGGGCTCTGTGGAACACAGTTTGAGAACTACCAATTTTGTTCCAGTTCCTTCAAGTCTAAGGGACCCCAGACCTTGCTGCCAAACTCATCCTGAGAGTCTCAGGCCTAGAAATGGGGGGAGGTCCCTGCCACAGGCCTGACACCATGGCCTTAGGCTAGTGAGGAGTCTCCTACTCTTAACCTCAGCCGCCACCAATCAGATTCTCTCTACATTTGTGGGACAGAGGTCAGAGTGCCTCGGCCAAGGCCCCTTCGGAAGGGCAACGACAGCCGGTCGCCTGGCTCCCCAGCCTCCCCCACCGCGTTCTGACTCCCTGGGGGGCCCACGAGGGAGGTGGCTACTGAGAGGGGGGCCGGCTCTCCGCTGTGCCGCTGGGGCTGCTCCAGGGGTGCAGGCCGGCGCAGGCCCCGCCCTTCCCTGCTGCCGCCTGTGTGGCCCTGAGCCTGTCCCTTCCCCCATTTTACAGGTGTGGGAGAGGATTAACGCGGCGACCGGGTTGGGAGCTCACCCGAGACCCCGATGTCGGACAGGACGGCTTTCTTGCGGTCCTTCACGCTGCTGATCTGTGGGAAGTACACGTCCAGGGCCAGGTACAGCAGGCAGGTGAGGAAGGCGAGCACGCCCACGGTCACGCCGTAGCTGCAGGCGTTGGGGTTGCGGTTGTAGATGCAGAACTCCTCGCCCTCCGAGGGGGTGTTGAGGTAGCCCTCGTTCACGATGGAGCCGAACACCACGATGGAGAACACCTGGGGGGTCGGGGGTGGGCCTGAGACCCAGTGCCAGCCCCACGGCGGGGCTTCCCAACACCCCGAGCACCCCGTGGCCTGCTGCCTGCCTTCCTGGGAGCCCTCTGCACCCGAATAGCAGGCATTTCCGAGGGGAGGCCCAGGGAGGGAGGGCAACTTGCCCGGTGTCCCACAGCACAGGGCAGGGTCCCTGGCTTCCACCCGCAGCCCCAGGCACTGAGGACCCCCCTGCTGCGGATGCGTCCCCTCACCCCAGCCCAGTCTCCCTGGGCCCTGACACGAGGTTCCTCTCAGACTGGAGCCGGCCTCCCAGAACCAGTGGTCTCAAGCCCTCCTGGGTGGGGAACCCGCTAAGCCTCCACCCCCATCTCATGCACCCCTTCCCTCCAGAGCGCCAAGGGCTGTCGTGGGGTCTCAGGCCCCGCCCTTCTGTCCTTGGTCCCACCCTTCCCTGTTGTCTAGGCCCTGGGTGATGAATGCAAAAATAACACCAGTCACTATCCTGACAATCACAGGGTGGCCTGCGCCACCCTGCACCTCAGGGAAGCACACGCGGTACCTCCTTTAACCTACAACACGTCTATTTCAGCGATTACTTCCACTTGGTAGGCAGCCAGCTCCGATGGCCCCGGGGCCCCACCTCCTGCTACCGACACCCTGGGCTCTGGCCTGGGCCTAGTGATTTGCTGCATAACATGGCAAAAAGTGATGGTGCGTCACTTCTGCGAGGAAGCCACACACACTCTGGCTCTTGGTCCCTCTCGCCTGCTCACTCTGATGGGAGCGGCGGCCATGTTTTGAGCGGCCTCATGGAGAGGCCTAGCGGAGGGAAGCCTCCCACAGCCCACAGAGGAGCGAGTCCTGCCACCACCGTGTAAGTGGCCTTGCAAATGGATCCACCCTCAGCTGTCGGATGAGCCCAGAGCCCTGGCTGCCACCATGACTGCAGCCTTTGACAGACCCTGAGGCAGTGGCACCTCGCTGGGCAGGTTCCTGACCACAGAAACTGTGGCATAACAAACACAGTTTATTATTTGATGCCTCTACATTTTGCGGTGATAGTTCACTGATACAAAATCAGTGTCACCAGTGTTTTGCAGGTAAGGCGGTTAAGGTGCAGGTTTCGGTTAATGTGCCCAGGGTCACACAACCGGTTGGTGGCAGAGCTTCAAACCCAGGGACCCAACTCGAAAGGTCCTGTTTTTGCCTCCTGCCTCTTGCCTGCCCTGGACCTGTGTGAGGACGAGGAGGCCCAGCCCCACGGACACACGTGTGAGAAGGCAGAGCCTCGGCCGGCGGGGATCTTTGTCATCCATTTTCCACTTCTCTTTGTTTTCCAATTGTTCTACAAAAAACTATAATTGCAGTATAAGCCAGACATATGTGCATGTTCAGCTGATACAAGGATGGCCAGTGACTGACAGGTGCGGGGAAAAAATATGAGAAGCGGTATTACCTTTTTAGCTTATCTTTTTAAGATATCTGCACTTTACATGGGTTTTATAATGTACTAGATATGTTAGTGTGTACGTATACAAGTAAATCTACATTTAATAGGAGAACTGATGCCAGCGTTTTTCCTGAAGGCCTGCATGAGAGCCCTGGTTTGTCGCTCTCTGTGTTCAGAAGGACCTGGCCCCATGTCCAATGGGTGAACGGAGAAGCAAGTGACAGCACAACCCTACAACAGAGCATTATTCAGCCATGGAGGGACCGCAGTTCTGAAACATGCCACGCACGGGTGAACCATAGAACAAGTGCAAAAAGTGGAAGCAGCTAGACACAAAAAGTCAATATTATATGATGTCTTTCACGTACTACATCTGTAATAGAGAGCAGATTCGAGGTTACTGGGGAGGGCAGGGGAGGGGAGGGGAGGAGAGGGGAGGAGAGGGGAGGGGAGGAGGGAGGGGAGGGGAGGGGTGGGAGAGAGAAGGATTACTTAATGGGTACAAAGTATTTTGCGGGGTGATGAGGAAGTTTGGGAACTAGACAGAGGTGGTGTTTATGCAATACTATAAATGTACTAAATGCCACCAAACTGTACACTTTAAAATAAAGTCGAGTGTATATGAATTTTTCTGCAATTAAAAAAATAAAAAGGGAGGATTGGGGAGCTGTGTCCTGGCTCAGCCGCGGGCACAGAGATGGGCCGTGGGCCACGCGTCAGCCTGTCCTGACTTGGGAAAGTCCGCAAACCCAGCCCTTCCGGGCCCGGCGGTCCCCTGGCTCACAGCGCGGCCCTGGCAGGGCTTCTACGGTCTTCACAGTCACGCATCTGAGAGGGCGATTTGTACTGCCCCTCACTCACAGAGCAAAACACAGAGGTTCAGAACGTGGTGCCGCTGCTGTTGGCAGACCAGGCTGAACTTGAACCTAGGCCTCCTGCGCTCAGCCCTGCGCTCGTTTCCTCCAGACCCAGCGGATTCTCAGCGCAGAAGGAGGGTCCTGAAGAAGGACTGGTATTTCCTGAGACCTGAGGGGTCAGGCAGTGTGACCAGGGCCAGGTCTGGCGCTCAGGGGCGCAGGAGGGGAGAGATTTCAAAGCACTTCCTGACAGACACTCCCTGAGGGCTGCCGCCAGAGGTGGGAAGAGGGTGGCCCCCTTCCAAAGGCAGGCAGAGGAGATGGGAGGGGAAATGAGAGGGCAGAGGCCCCTTTGGGGACAGCAGAGGAGGAACTGTTAAAACAGGGCCCTCTTGGAGGAGAGAAGCAGGGAGTCCTCAGAGAGACCAAGAGGAAAGTGCTGGAGACCATGTGTCCCCAAGAGGGTAAGAGCAAGATCAAAACACTCTCAGAGGGACAGGCGAGGCCAGCGCGGGATTGAGCAGAAGAAAGAGGCTGCTTACCAGTGCCCTGCTGCCTGCCCTCCGGCCCCTGGGCCCCTGGCCTTCCTCTCTACCCTGCGGTCCTCTGGCAAACATGGGCCCTTGGTCAGGTATTTGCCACAGGGCAAAGGTGTCTTGGTGCCTGGCACTGGGCTGGGAGGGGGCGTCCAGGGGTAACCACATCCATGGAGGCCCTGCTGGCGGGGAGCTGATGGCCTGGACGGGCAGGGGTGAGGGGCCAAGAGTCGGGGCAGACTACCTGGGCTGGTTGAAATCTAGCTTGGCCACTTGTCTAGGGGGTGACCTCAGGCAAATGACTTAACCTCCCTGAGCCTCCGTTCCCTTGTCTGTAAAGTGGGGCAACAACAGCCCCTAAAGCACCGACCACCGTGAGGAACGAGTGAGGTCCTCACAGCACGTGGCGTGGAGCGGGTGCCCCAAATGTGCCGGACGGGCACTAAACGGGTGGAATGGATAAGCGGGCAACGACCGGCAGGCCGTGGCAAAGGCTGGGCGGAGGTGGTCAGGGAAGGGCGCCCGCAGCAGTGGTTTCTGGGCCGAGCTGAGAGGGAGCACCGCCCCCAAAGGTTAGGAGTCCCACGTTTCAGGCAGAGAACAGAAGGGGCAAAGGCCGACCACGGAGAAGGAGCGTGGCCGGAGTGTGACCAGGGAGCTGGGACCAGAGGGGTACGAAGGGCAGGAGGGACAAGGCCGGGGGGCCGCAGTGGGGACACTGAATGTAAATGCACTGAGAAGTCACTGGGCGGGGAGTGACAAGACCTGGCTCTGTGGATCATGGACTCTCAGGTCCCTTCAGTGGCTCCCCTCTGCCTTCTGGATGTACCTCAAGCTTGGGGGGTGGTCAAGGCCTCACCTCCCTACACTTCCTACCAACCACCAACCACCTGCTCCCCCACCTCTTCGCGTCCCAGGCCCTTGTCACTAACGGTTTCCACGCCGCAGGTCCTGAGCTATAACGATCTTCCCTGTTTAAGTTCCATGGAGGGATGGGCACTGAGCCGCCAGGGGGCCCCTCTGCTGGGCACGCACTGTCCGGCCCAACTGCTCCGCGCCCGCAGGTCGCCCTGCGTCCGGGCCCTGGGACGCCTCATCTTGGAGGCCAGAGCATGAGGGCGTGCCCCGAGCCGTGCGTTCATTCCACAGTATTCCCCAGCAGCTGGGATGTGCCAGGCCCTGGGCGGGAGGCGAAGGAGGTGGAGGAGGTGGCGAGGTCCCTGTTCTCACCAAGGGAGACAGACAGTAGCTGACAAATATGAAGGTAAGTCCTGACAAGTGTCCTGAAAAGGCAGAAAGTAGGGTGAGAGGAGACGCACGAGGCAACTTGGGGGAGGGGCTCTGATGACCGGCCCTTCGGGCAGAAGACCCCAAGGAGGGGTAAGCACAGGTGCAAAGGCCCTGGGGCGCGAACGGCTCCGTGGGATAAGGGGGCACATGGGGGCCAGCGCGGTGCCTGACTGAGGTAGGCAGGGGCTGGCCCCTGTGCCTTGAGGAGTAGGGTGAATTCAGGAGCCACTTTGGCGAGTGACTTGGTCTGACTGAGGTTTGAAAACAATCACCCTGCCATGGAGCAGACAGCCTGCAGGGGCCAAGGTGAGAGCAGTGCCCAGGGGAGCGGGGAGGGGCCAGGCCGGTGTGGGCAGCGGTGATGGTGCCGAATGTCTGCGAAGGTGAAGCCACCAGTGCCTGCTGACAGGCCTCTGCTGTGGGAAGAGAGAGGAGGAACGAGGAACGCAGAGCAGGCGGGGGCGGGGCTGACAATCGAGAACCCAGGTGTGCATATAGGGCGGCAGGGCTGGGCCAGGGCAGGGAGCCGCACCCAGACCGGGCCTCACAGTTTACAGACAGAGGAACTGAGGCTCGGGGAAGGGAAGAAACGTTGCCAAGGACACACCACCTGCCCACTGCAGTTTCCTAAACTCTCTCCAGGATCCTAAGCCCCAGTTTAAGGATCCTGCATGGAGCGGCCATCTCCCCACCCTGAGTGGGAGGGGCCGCCCCAGGAGCTGGGCACAGCTATCTGTCCCTCCCCTGCTTCCAGCCCCGGCAGACAAAGGGGGACTCCCTCGGGACCCACTAGGTGACTCTTAATTAACTCTACGTGGTCCATGTCCTTCTTCTCGGTTTACAGCTCATTTTACAGCTGCTCCTGGG